CCCTAAAACCTGAAAGACAGTGATCAATACAAGAAAACAGACTGACCTAACACCTGAAAGACAGTGACCAATACAAGAAAACAGACTGACCTAACACCTGAAGGACAGTAATCAATACAGGTAGCTTAAAGGTTTTACAGTGCAACACCACACAGTACTTTTTAAATGCAATTTAATATATTAAGGACATGTGTGACCATACACATGTATTATTCCAATTAGCCAGCATTGGAAATTTTGCAATTCAGAGTGACAAAAATGATGAAAGCCGCCCAGGGATGCCCCGGGTGAAATTTGTGATTCTGTCAAAGAAAGCAAAACCAAGATTGATGAACAAAAAAATCACTACAACCTGTCAAGGTTTATTACAACATTTGTTTCATTTGCTGTGAAGTTATGATGAGGAAACGGTTGTTTTCATCCATTTTTCTCCCAGCAATCTGTGCCGATGGTAGCTACTTCAAATTTGTCTTCAACCAGAAAGGGGAATGCAGCAGGGAAGTATATGAAAACTTCCTAGAAATGACTGACGAGAAGATGTGAAATGTATAACCCCCCCTTCTGTGAGACCCCACCCCCATTCAGTAATTTAGGAGCTGATGTTGTGGTAGGGTGCCACGCAGCATGAAATCTCCCCGCCTGAGGGTATTATCGGAAACATGCCTGAGGCTGGAATCTGTTTTAGTAGCTTTGTAAATATAATAATTATGTGAATTTTGTAGCAGTCTGTTTTTATTCCACTTGAAAATAAATATCATCACAGTCCTGATCGGACAGCTTGAGCAAAGCACAGTCCTGATTGGACAGCTTGAGCAAACCGCAGTCCTGATTGGACAGCTTCAGCAAACCACAGTCCTGATTGGACAGCTTCAGCAAACCCCAGTCCTGATTGGACAGCTTCAGCTCATTATTGAATGTGAATGAAAAGATTTTACATACGTGCTCAACATTCATGTTGAGAGTGAGTACTTTATTCAAATAATAAAGCAGACCTACAGCGGGGCCTGCATTGTCTGCTTGTGGCAATTCAATGCATGTATTTCCATACCCGGTTAGTCAGCCATGACGTTGTGTTTGATTACATGCAGCTGACCATTGAAGCAGACTTTTTAGTGTTGCATATCTGTTGGCAGACCTGCACACTCTTTGCATACTAATCAAGGCCCAGTTTTCCTGGTGACATGAAGTAGGAATCTATGCGTACATGTACTTACACACAGAATGTGCTGTTAAAATAGTCAGTCTAGGAAGTCTGTGGGCCAGTCTGGGCTGGTGCATTATTTTAGAATGCATGGTGGTTCTGAATCTTTCAGGTTGCAGTTTCAGGAATTGGCATGTTGGCGGACGCTGCATAAGGTAATCCATTGTAACACTAAATGATGCCAATGACTGATTCACAGAATTGAATATTTTTATTGCTTACGTCTAGAACTCTTCGTTTGCACTGTGGTAGTTTCCTCGTTACATACAACCAAAGCTTCTGATGAAAATCAGAATTCTTCTTTAGATATTGCCAGTTGGACAGGAAGTTTTTGGTTGTCATGGCCCAAACGGCTGAGCCGTTTTGTGCCGGTCTCAGGCTGCTTTTTTTTTGTACCATCAGACTTCAAAGTTGTTATCACAAGAATAAGTCTCATAGTGCCATAGGAACATCAAATAAGATGCACAGAGCAAAATATTGAAGTACATTAATTCAATTTGAATGCTTCAGGCCTACAGTCGGGGATTAATTTTAAAGATGTAGCCTGAGACGCAGACAGGGTCAAGCTTTAGAAAATGGCCCTGCTATATTTAGTAATAGTTCATTCCTATATTGTTTGTTATATCTCACTTTTTTTTCGGCCAGTAACGCTTGATTACGACTTCATTTTAGCTTTGTTTGTGTGTTAAGCTTTGCCTGGTATGTTGTATAAACAGTCCTTTAAATCGACTGTGAATCAAACAGCAATAGTTGAAAATAAACAAATGAAATAATACATTGCCATGAGATGAATTACACTGTAAAGTATAATATGAAAATTCATGCAGTCCAAACTTTGCCAAAATATTTTTTTTATTTTGACCTTGTATTTTAAAATGTCAAGTCAAGATCTGTGATGCATATTTTGCGAGCAATTCTTCTCAGTGTGTTGAACTTACTTTCACAATTGTACGATTGCTTTATGAAAAAGCTAGAAGCTTCCCCAGATGTTGTTATTAGATGCAAACCCCTTTGTAAGGTGTTATTATTCAGTTTCACCTTGAGATAATGTTGGAATCAGGAACTTTGCATAAATTGTTCATGTGTGCCGTTTTGCCGATCATCAACGACCATTTCATTTGGTTGTATCGCAGTCATCCTGTTTGATTTATTCTGGAATCTTAGAAGGCAGAAGGGCATACACATGTTTGTAAATGTTGACGACTTTAAAGTAAAACTGAATTGGTGATGTTGATGAACAAGAAATCCACATGGCAAATTCATTATAGTTTTGATTGATTCTGGGAGGCAAACTGTTCTGTTTTGTTTGTTCATGGCATGTAAAGGAAGACCATGATTTTCATTGGCAGTATTTTGCCATCAAGTAGTGTTCCCAGCATGGTACCTTTGCTGAATGGGGCCTGAATTATAACCCCCCCCCCATCACATCTTTGATGCATAATGCTTTTATTTTGCTGAATTGAAAATCATGGTCTTTTCTTTTCAATATATCAACGAGAGTCTTCAGCACCATCTTTGTAATCGCACCCTCCTCATTCAATGTGATAGCCTTACAAAAGCTCTAAATTCTGCTGGGAAATTTTGTCGATAACTGTAAATATTTATCAAAGCAAGCATACATTTTTTGGTGAAATTATTTACTTTCGAGTAAGGAGTGGTCATTACAATTTCCCTCAAATACCTGACCGTAAGCAGTAATTGTCGAAAGAATTTTATTCATGCCCTCTGTACACTTGAAAAACTGTGGTGTTAAATTCGTGTTAATTTACGGGGATGAGATTTGCTCGGAGTTCTCCTGATTTCAGGATCTTTCCGTCAGGATTTCCATGTTTTCTGGATTTTCAACCAATATCTTATAAATTTGGAAACTCTTTAGTTTACCATTTCAGTTATTGTAAGTATAAAAGTTGATGTACAGTGTTTGCATAGCTGCCATCTTTCAGGCAAATACTATTTCACAAGATGCATGTAAAGGAGGCTTCCCTTTCGAAAAAAGAACTACCCTGCAACATGGTTACCACGCAAAGCCTCTACAGGACACAACAAATCGTTATACCATAAGGGGTACATATGGGCAATTGAAATGCTGCTGTGGGGTTTTAAAAACCGCTGGCGATGTATTTCCTAGATATTTCATTGTTGTCCAATCTCAACCCTGAATTTAACACCCTCGATGTTATTAGAGGATTAAACCCAGTCTTGTGTGGTCCTCGGGTAACACCACAGTTTATGCAGTTGATCAGTTCCAAAAGTTTAGTAAAGAACTACATAAGGCCTATACCTTCTCTTTTATGCTGTATATACCAAATGTTCAATACATGTACGAAGATTATTTTCAAGTTATTCAACTATGCGTATTTTTTGCAGCACCACAGATGGCCATGTTTTTATTTCAACTTTTTAAATACTTCCTGCCCGATCAGTGATGTCCATCTGGCCGATATTTTAAATTGGATTCGTGTTTCTCGGCAGTTAATAACACATAATGACCTTTCGTTTTACCAGCAGTTCCTGAAAAGTGACAAAATAATCATGAGCAGTCGCAGATATTTCAAATAAAAACCGATATTGACGGTTTTCGTCGTTTGCGATTTTCATTTGTTTTTGTTTAATCGGCGGGTGTCTATTCGTAAACAATGGGGATTCCTTAGGTGCAAAATACGTGTACGTAGTTGATGTTGACTTTTTATAGACGCAGATAAACGTTTTTATGTTCCATGTTTGTCAGACAAAAGTTTCATTGAAGACAGTCATTGAATCAGTTTCGACAGGAACGCTACTTGAACAGCACTTTGAGGATACTGAATAGTGATTTCTTTTATTTGCGAATTTTCAAACGTTTTAACCAGTTAAAAAGTCTGTACACTTTGCCCTAGTTCAAGAATCGAAATTGTCCATCAAAATGATTCTAATTCTAAACCTGCCTTTTTAGTTATTACCCGCATGCTGTTTGAAATCATTGTTTATTCCGTAGTTTCGTCTTTTTATATCACTGTTTCATGAATATGTAGATTGGAATTGTAGTTAGTGCGCATTTTTATCGGCATTTATGACTTTACATTTCCGACGGCTGTTATTTGTAGTGACATTTATCGCTCGAATGTCTACTGTTTGCATCGGCCTTTATTCATAGCGACAGGAACCGAGAACGGAAGTTGTAAATCGCGTGGACTTTTCCAGCTAACTTCTTTGCATCATTGAGGTGGCGCTCGGTTAGCGTGTCAGGCGACGAACGCTCTCATTCAGGAATTTTGCAGCTCCATTGCTTCTAGACGAAGTAAGTACTGACTTAACATATTTTGGCAGAAATTCTGAATAATACGCAAGGGGACAGGCTTGCTCTCAGTGACTTTAGGTCCGTTTGTCATAGTTCTCTTGACCTTTTTATTGACTGTGATTTTTATAAACTTCTGTGCAAGTATTACGGTCGGGTTTTTTTTTCTAGAAAAATTATTCAAGCATACGACGCGATATCAGTGCACATGGCAACCCGTTTAAAGGATTTGTACTCCCGTTCAACCCTTGAAAGAAGTAAGAAAAATCTCCGGAAAATAATCAAAGAAGTGGAAAATGACAGTTTTACGACAAAGAATAATTATGGAAAAATTACCGGTTTTACCTAACTTTGTGTCTCATTTTCACAATTTGTCAGGTTAACCTTGAAATAACTTTGATGCCATATGAAAGACTAGTAACCCTTATGAACAAAAATGTTTATTACTTCCAGGTAGAAAACGTTTTTAATTTCACTTCGTTTTTCATTGGGACGCATTTTTCGTCATTTTCGGTCTTTTTCACCTTACTCAGTGCCTGCATATTCACACTTTCGCCGAATTCACCTGAGATCATCGGTGATACTGTGTGGAAGACTGATGAATCATTTGTATGCATCATTTCATTTCTTCAAGATCGAGAACCATATGTCTGAACTACGTTTCGTGTTTCATGCGGATTCCAATTTCCGCGCTATGAGTTTGTCAAAATGAGATAAAGGAGATTCTCGTCGGAGCTGGTGAACATTTTCATGTGGTTCATGCCTGTATATTACATGTAAAACTCGGGATATAAACCGCGAATTTCAACATTTCCTTGCAATGTTATAATGACAAATAGACCTCGGTTTCAATAATAAACTTCATGTTAACTTACTGTACTTTTTGTGTTCGTCTTTCGTTCCCCAGTCGCTGAATTTGACGCTCACAAGGCCGACGGTAAGAGGCGGAATGAACGGAATCGGTGCTGAGCTAGGTCGATATGCAAACGCGTCCGGTCAGGAAGAGCTGGCGGCCCAAATCGACTTTACCCTCAATCAGTGTTCAAAAATAGTGTTACCAAATCTGTGTTGAAAACTTCGAAATCATTCAGATAAATATTATTACCCTTACACTCATAATTCTTTCAGTGTCGTGAAAATAGTCCGAAATAAAAAGGGTTGCATTCGGAATTCAGTTTGTGTTCCGAAAGGTGGTGCACTTGAGTAAATCTCAGAAAATCCCACATTAACGTCGAAATTTCTTTGAAATTGATAACGATCAAGGAATTGTTAACTACACAATACTCAAATCAAGCTTCTAAGAAAATGGTTTTCTAGTTTTGAGAGCATATTAATGACACATAATCCCGCTTGGAAACAAAATGTATGTACCTAATCTCGCTCGCTCTGAATGTCCTAGGATTAATCATTTAACATGAGCCTTTGCTCAAAACTTACCATGAAAACATAAGGACATAATTTAGTGAGTTTAGAAAACATTCTTCAATTTTAAAGGGTAATTAAAAATGCAAATACGTACCAAGTAAATACGTGTATCATTTGAAGACCATTTCAATGACAGGTTCCACTGGGCAGGTGTAACAGGTGCACGGAAAAAAGTCACTTATATATATAGACCACTAATTTGTAAAATGATAGACGTGGCATCTCCCGGCTTTCGCAAAGTTATTTTTTGGCCTGTGGTGCCCTGGACGAATCTTCATTTAATGTACTGGCTTAAAATGACCAATGAAATTCTTTCGTGGCCAGATTATCAAAGTGCGCAATAACTATCTTAATACCCTCACAGAAGTATGTCGGAAATACATACCGTTCATTTAACGTTCGATGAACGCTCCGAAAATACTGTTGTCGGAAGTCATTTGGTAAGAGATGACTGAGATATCAGCTGCTGTACTTTCGATATTTATCCGGAACAATGATACATTCTTTCATAATTCCCTTCAGATTACACTTTGAATTGCCTTCATTTTCATCCTCTTATTTAATGACTTATCTCTCGTGACTCATCCACATAGAACGTGCACATAAAGGGGCAGGGCCTACCCATACTGCCCCACTACACATTTTTAGGTAGGCCTACCTGTGAGGCTGACTTACATTTCAGTGAGACTCACTTGCAATAGACCGACTGCGCCACTAAATCCACTAAGTCACGTTACCTAGAGTGGGTATTGAACATCAACAAACATGGCACCTTTCAATAGCAAAGTGTGTTATAGGTGTTATTTACCAAAAATACAGCCAATTTTTGGTCTAGTGCCTAGTACATCAGTAGTCTACCTACAGTTAACCGACAGACGGCCTTAATTTTGGTCAATGACACTTATGACACACTTTGCTGTAGGAGGACGCTATGTTTGCTGATGTTGATACCCATTGTAGGTCACATGACTTAGCGGCTGCAATTAGTCTATTGGTCAACTTAAATTCGCACAGACGATGCAGGAGAAGACAGTCGCCAGATCAGTCGCCATCATTGGCAGTGGGGTGACCGGCTTAGCGGCCATCAAGTGTTGCCTCGACGAAGGCCTTCAACCAACTTGCTTCGAGAAGTCCGACACCATCGGCGGTCTGTGGGTCTACCGTGACGGCACGGACTTCCAGATGACTGGCTCAGTCTTCAAGTCCAGCGTTACCAACACCAGCAAGGAGGCCATGTGTTTCAGTGACTTCCCCTTCCCTAAGCAGTGGCCAAATTTCTTACGCAACGCTGATATGAAGAAATACTGTGACCTTTACGCCGAAAAATTTGGTCTTACTGAGCACATTCGCCTATCCACTCGAGTAACTTGCTTGAGCCAGGCGCCAGATTATAACACTACCGGTCGATGGGTTGTAACATCTAGACAACAGGAGAGCGGGGATGGAGTAACAAGTCAGGTGTTCGACTCAGTAATGATTTGTACTGGAATGTTCAACAACCCCTTTCGGCCCAACTTTCCGGGTCTAAGTGATTTCCAAGGCAGGGTCATGCACAGCCACGACTACCGCAAGCCGGTAGGTTTCGACGACAAGCGTGTTGTAATCATCGGTTTTGGAAATTCAGCCATAGACGCAGCAGTGGATCTGAGTCGATGCGCCTCACAGGTAAGCCGTTTTTCAACGTTTTTTCGATTGGCAAAGGGCAAAACAAGATGTATCTAAAAAGTTGTCCCTCCCCCAAAGGAAATACATTAACTGTTAGTGACAGTTACTGACTCGAAGGTTCGAAGTGGCCAAGTGATTTTGGCAAGTTTAATTATTAAGACAAGTGGTAAAAATGTTTGCTGTTACGTGGGACGGATAATTGGGGATTCGAATCGCATCTGAGTAAGCGCGTAATTTTTTCGGCACGAATATCCTGAAACTAAAAGTAATCACAATGTTTATAAGAGATCGTTGCGCATTACCAGCCGTGGGATTTGTCGAAATTGACAAGTCAACCATCTGGCAGTAGTTAACAAACGTTTTTTTTTTCAGTCGATTTGATGACATGCTGTATTGACCGAGTCTTTCTCTCCATGGATAATACCAGACAACATTTTTCACTCTTACAATTAACAATCACCAAAGAGTCCTCTATTACAGACTTCTGCCAGTTGTCTACCGACCTGGCATCCAAACCTATCTCCTCCGGTCATCATCAGGGCAACTTTCCCTCAGTGAATCATGAAAAGTCAGTTAAGCTTAATGTCACGTTGAGCTATCATAAATATCCTTCACTATCCATGACATATCTACCGTGATTCGTGTCCTTAAATTACGACCATTTTGTCAATTTTGATTTATTTCCCTGCTGTGTTTGCGAGTATTCATGACACTCATCAGCTTTGTCATCTCAAGCAAGGCAGACTGCATGACTCAAGTTAATGACTCGACTCGAATCCGAAGAAACACACTTTTTGGTAACTCGACTCGATTCGAGTCCCGACGGGTAAATGACTCGACTCGAATCGAGTCTCTGCGACCAAATGACTTGACTCGAATCTCTCGTGGAGACGCGACTCGAGTACAAGCTAATAAGACTCGAGTCTCAAAAATATTAAAAGCAAAATAGTTTTCTAGATACCTGTCACCCTATTTAATTTCAGTATGTCTAAATGAAAACAGGAAATCCACAAAAATGACTTACATGTACTTGTGTTTTTATTGTATTTTGTTCCAAAATATGTGACTCAAATTGACTTGATCCCGGTACTTGACTCAACTCGACTACACAAAGTGACTCGACTCGACTTCTTGACTTAATTACTCGACTTGACTCGAGTCACAATGTTAAAATGACTCGACTCAAGTCACCGAATTTAGTGACTCGAACAA